CTATTGCAATAACGTAAGAAAATAAAACATCGAAATGATATACAAAGAATAAATTGGGAATACAAGTAATATTTGCAGAAAGTAATCAAACATGTTTTCCATATTTGGATTTTGTTATTTTAACCTGGATTTCGTCGCAGACTGCAACTATCGCATCGTCACTTACGCGAAGCTATTGCAATAACGCAAGAAAATAAAATAAGAAAATAATATACGAAAAAATGAAACAAGGACATAAGTGATATTTTTATTAAAGTAATATTACTGATTTCATTTATCCATATATTTCTTTTATCAAAGTAATCTTACTCTAATAAAAATATTGCTTATGTATACCTCCGTTTTATTTTGTGTAAATTATTTCTTTTTTATTTTTGTGCGTATAGTTTCACGATAAATGACGGTGCGACAGTTGCAATTGGTTTGCGATCAGATCTAGAGTAACACGAAACATCCAATTATAGAAAATATGTTATATATTTTTTTGTTAATCTAGATCTGATCGCAAACAGACTGCAATTATCGCATCGTCATTTTACCAGATCTCTTCTAATTGCTATTTCTTTAATCTCGTCATCAATGAAATATCGTTAAACATAACTAATAAAAATACTGATTATAACATATATCCATTGTAAATCAATCACAAAGTTACATTTACAGATGATATATGTAGTTTACGATATCGGAAAATACAGCAATTCACAATAAGCATCACTGTTTAATTCTTGTGACAAAACTGACAAATAACGTCACGTAAAGCTAACAGACTGTAGACTTATGATGGTATGATATAATTATTCACACTTCACGTAACACTTTGTCTTACATAGGTAGTCATAATAACAACTAGAAAATATGCACAATGCAATTAGAGACAAAACGAGAAGAGACAGAAGTGAATTAAATATTATTTTCTTTCCTAACATGTATATATACATATAAGTATAATAGAAATTTTATGTATTATTTTATTTATTATTTATTTTTTATAAGATTTTAAATTGTAAGTGATATTTCTAATGTTAACATAATAACATATCAGAGAAAAGATTGGCCTTAGAGAGATGGAATAAGATAATTCTTGAGATTGGCCAACACATAACAGTCAAGGATGTGGTCATGGCCATAGAAATATTTTTAAAGAATTCTCCACGAGATGCAGACTGCTATTAATGATACACGGCTGATAAAATTCCTGGAACTAGCGGTAACTAACCGGATCCGATTAGAGATCTCTGTTTCTCAAATAAATCGAAGATTAATACAAGACCAAATTTTGTTTTGTCTAAAATGTAAGTTTGATCAAACAATTGCTTAAATATTTAAAATATTAAAATCAAATAATTTTGTTTGATTAAGAAGGTTTTAGCTTTATAAACTTTTATGTTATGCAAAAAGTGAGATAAAATTGTAAAAAAACAGGCAATTAATTTGCAAAATAAATTTTACTGTTTAAAATCAAAACAAATTTTGTCATAATGTCTTAAAACTTAATTGTATTTCAAAATTTATAAAGCTAAAACTTTCTGGATCAAACAAAATTATTGACTTTTTGTACTTGAAATCAATTTTAATAAATTAAAATATAAAAAATATAAAAAATTGAGGTGTTCACATTTTATATTGATATTATATTTGTTCATTCATAGAAAATTATTTGGGATAAAATATTCCATTTGTAATATACCTCGGTTTTTAACAAATCTTGAATCAACATTTTTCAAATTGTCAATTTCTCTAATTTTCAAGTAAACATTATTTCACATTATGTATATTTTCTCGAAATTTTTACCTATTTAATTGCAATGTAATAGTTTATTGAATTAAAATTTTTATATATTTACAGAAATATCGTGTGCTATAAATCGCTCTTCTACAATAAACTAAAAAACCATTTCTAACTCACCAGAGGTAAAAACACAAAATAGTGCAATTACTGTCACAGCGACCCACGAGACTCTTGTGAACATCTTGGAGATGTGCTGCGGCTGATCCGTAAGAAGTAACGACTATCAACGCACTGTGCTGGTCAAAGAGATCTGCGCTTTTGAACGCTTCTCAACAATCACTTTCTTATATATACGGCGATAGCAACGCGTGATGAAGGCGAAGCGGTGAAGATCCTACGTAGATGTAGGAAGAGCGGGGAAAGGAAGAATCGTTTACGACCGAAGGACAAGAATTTCATCGTTGTTCGTGCCAGAAGAAAAAGAGAATCGAAATTCCTAACACAGGAATTGGAAATAACCGAAAATTAACGACCGGACGATGTCCTGTTCTTCCATGTTTAAGTTAAGAATTGTTCCGATTTGTGAAATATATTTTTTTTAATATATATGAATTGTATTAGGTATATATGAATATTTCGAGAAGAATATTTTAAACATAACAGGCAATATAGTCCGTTCTTAAAAATTAGAAAACATTCTACAGATATACATATATCTTAACTTATAATTTTTAATTTTTAATTAAAAAAATTAATGTTGAATTTTTGCTACATATATTACCTTCTATAAAATGCATTTTTCAAATTTCAATTATCTTATTTTTTATGTTATGTTATAAAAAATTGAAGCTAGGAGCTAGTTCTAATATGGGGAATCTGAGACAATGTCACACGTGCATGGCAGCTACATTATTTGTTACTTTTAAGATCATTTCTCTTTCAGACAACTATGGTATGAAACATATTTTTTTAAATAATGGATTAAATTGGATGGAAAAATGGATTAAAATAAGACACTTTGTGTATATGTATATACACTTAATGTATCTATCACGATATATTAAATTGTGTATGTATATTGATAAGCATAAAGCACTAGGAATTATAAGGACATGTAACTTCATTATTAGACGGATAATTTGTTATCTTAAAAAAATCCTGTATTTAAATCTTTCATAATATGATTAAAAAGTAACTTATTAAAATAAAAAAATTTTTGTAGAGAATAAAGAATACATTCATGACTTTTGTGATCGGAATTTCAAGATAATGTTAACCTTCTTCACTAAATTACCAGATATCGTGAAAAAGCCATTTTTGGACATTACATCTCGATAATCTTGGAAACATGATGTAGGTACTGGAATTTTTTTGACTTGCGACATTGTTTTCAGCATTCAATGAGTATCCCATGAGAAAAACCTAATCTGGCTCAATAATCAAGTAATTTTTTGCTATAAATTAAAGTGTTATTTTTGGCGTAGTAAAGATTTTTTAAGTGACCTGAAGAATTTATCGAACATGAGGACATCTTTTGATGTGAATATTCGAAATGTTTTATATTTTGTGTATGACTAAAAGTTACTCAGTACAAAACTAGAAACGGGACAAATCAATGAAAAAAAATTGCTCCAGAAAACATTCCAAACTTTAATTAATTAACACCAATTTACTATTCACCGTATCACTGCGCGATAACACAAAAACACGACAGCGCATAATTCACGATACTTTGTTTTAAAAAATAAATAATGCGTCATGATTTTTATTGATTATATCTTTCTCGTTATGATGTAGTATCTAGAAAATATAACACTAAATTTTATTTGTCCTTTAATTATGCCATCATTAGAATAATAAAATGTCTATACTTGATGATTATATGTTACAATGAGAACAAAAGTAACATACAATTTTTAATGTTAATGTTAATATTTCAGCAAATTATTAATACAGAATTTTTAATTAAATATTTAATTTATTTCCATGAAATACATATTTTTTAGCGTGTATAATTAGTATAAGACATAAACACATAATTCCTTCCATAATGTCCTCTTTACATTTCATTATCCTTTTATATTTAAAAGTTAATACGTATTTTAAATTGTTAAGTAAAGTTTAACAATTAAAACATTTAAAACAAATCTTATATTTGTTATATATTTGTTGATAATATCCATATAAACATGCACAATATTTTTATATATTTGATGTTACTTTCTATGACAATCATAAAATCCGTATTTGATTCAACTGTTTGCATTAAATCTACAGACAGGGACAAATCTTAAACGAAGTGGATGAGCAGGACGAAGTATGAAATCAGCTTGCAACCGAAGATCCTTTAAATAGTCAACGGGCTCCAAATAGAAATTTTGTACCAGAGGAGCTATCATCGCCTTCATTTCCAACATAGCAAATCGTTGCCCTATAATTTAACATGTATCGCAATCCGTTTGTATAAGAGAATGTATAAAATATATGTATAGCTTACCAATGCAGTTACGTGGTCCAGCACTGAATGGTAAATACGAGTAAGGATGACGATTTCGAATATTTTCGGGCAAAAATCTATCTGGATCAAATACCTCTGGATTTGGCCAAAAATTGGGATCTCTATGAACGGCGTAAATATGAAGTTGTATAATTGTTCCAGCAGGTACTACATATGGCTCTAAAAAGCATATTATAAAATAAGATTTATAAATAATTAAAAATATTATATTATACAAATTTCAAAATTAAGTATCTATTTAATACAACATCGAAATAAATGTGTATAGTTATTTAATAAGAAATATGTATAAAATTTGACAATCGTCGCACATAGAGAGTTGTGCGTCTGCTCTCCATGACTCGGTTTCAAATCCGATCATCAATAACAAAACAAAATCATCTGATTTTATTTGATCGCCACTTCTTGGAAAAGGTAATGGTAAATTACATAAAAAATATCTTGCCCTGTGAGCATATACCACCCAAGCACAATCAATTAATCTTCTTATCAATCCGTACTGGCTAGCGTGATAGAGAAAATGGCTAAAATCCTCTAACTTACAATTAGATTGGTTAAGAGAGGCTCATGTCCAACAGTGAACGAAAAAGAGCTGCTTGATGATAATAATGATAATATATAAAGTGTAATAATAACTTCAATTTAATAAATAATATTTTTTTTTTGAAAATATTGTATGTTGTATTCTACTTACAATAGATTTGTATGTAAAACTTTGGACTTATATAAACAAATATCAATAATAAAAATATAAAAATTTCAGAAATTTAGAAATATAATAAAAGAATGATTTAATGCATACGTAATTTGACGTCTTCCCCAGAAATGCGTGATATAAGAAATACGCTGGGATACAGGCGCAACGTTTCCTTTATACATCTGTCTAAATATGGTAGCTGTTGCAATAATTTCATAGTAAATTTTTCCCCATTCTCTTGCATAGCAATATTAACTTCGTCTCTGACTCGATCCTGCAACGTCACATACACACGTACAATGTCAATTAATGATACGTTTCTTATTATTTTAATGTTATATATATATATAATCATAAATAAATTCCGACAAATGTTGAAAATACTTATATTACAAGAGTTTCGATTAATTTTTTGGAAATGTGCGTTTACTGGGACATAAAAAAATATTTGAAAAATATCGTGCGCAAACTGGTGCGTGTGTGTACACATTTTTGTATAATTTATTGTTATACAGGGAAACAAATTGTACATTACACAGATACACACACAATTTTAACAAACTTAAGAAGATTTTAAAAATTTAGATATACTTAATAATAACTTCTGGAATTTTTGAAATTAATTTCATTTTTTTTAAATATAATAGCAGCCAACATTTGACGATAAATACCTGAATATCCTTATGCTCAGCTAATAGTGCCAAAAGGAAGCATAGACCCATCGCTGTAGTATCATGACCCTATTACAACATTATATGCATTGGTATACTGAATAATGTGTAAAAATCAAGAAAAGTTACAAATATCTACCTCAAACATAAAAGTATCGACTTCTTCTCTAATATCTAAATCAGTCATAAGACCTTCACGAGATGCCGCTATTAGAAGATCTAACATTGCAAGACGCTTTCTTTGTGCTACATCGAAGTACATAAGTCAGTCAGTATCATTTTAATAACTCAATTCTTCTATACTTTTCATTATCTAATACGTTGAGAATTAGAACTATATTTAAATTTTAAAGTATATACATGGAAAAAACAATTTTGTCGGAAGGTCTAAAAATTTTGCTATAGATACAGATCTGAAAATAATTCGAACCATTAAAATAAGTTTGTTAGAAATTCAAACTTATTGTTAGAATATCAAAACATTTTACAACAATGCTTAATTACTATTTTTGTATTTCCACCAAAATTATTCTCAAATCAAAATTTTTAGATCTTCCAACAAAGTCGTTTTTTTCGTGTACTAATATAAATTAAAGTTAATATAAATATAATTTATAATTTATATAATTTATAATATTAAAAATATTAATCAAATTTAAGAAATAGCTTCTTACAATACGTACATCTAAACATTTCTGCGTCATTTTCTTCTGCTGATATATCATTTCCAATGTTTTTCAAGTATTTATCATTAGTGCGTTCATGATAAAGTTTTCTTTTGGCAATAATCTACGTACAACACAATATTAATGCTTTTTCTATAATTTACATAAATATTTTAACAATATATTGCCAATATTTGTAAATGATATTACAATATTTTTATGTAAAATTATAACATTTTTATTGTAATTTCTCGGAATAGATAATGTTTAGTTAGAATTTTAATTATCATTTTTACATACTTCTTCAGTAAATCCATGTAATGTCTTCAAAATTTTCATTTGCTCTCTACCTTTTGGCGATAATGAGAATATCCAATCAAATCTCAACCATGGCCTTGTTAATCTAAAGTAAATTATTGAATGACAGACATGCTATTTTAAAAAGACAGTAGCATTATTTTGTATTTAAAAGAGAGAATTTTTTTAAATTTCTTTATAAACTCTTAACAATAATGATATTTTAATAGTTAAATAAAAAAATTTTTTACATCAATCATAAAGTTATGCTAAAAGGATATATAAAATAATATATATCTAAACATTCAACTTATATTTTTACTATCAGAACTTTAACTATCAAAAAATTAAAAACTCATGTATTAGTATCTATTTTTATATTGAATTGTGCATAATTCTTTGTGATAGTTTAATATTTAAAATTTAAAAAATTTTAAGCAATATTTATTTTATTTTATTTTTAGTTATTAAAATAAACAAAATTTAATTAATTATATAGGGTTCCCGTATAAACGTATCCCCCTATGATCATTCTTTTTTATCTCGTAAACTAACAGAGATAGACCTAATAAATATAATATTAAATCGAGGTAGTACACTCGCGACAATACCATTCAAAAGTTAGGTCCCACTCCCGCTAATGAGAGAAAACATGTGTTTGCTCCTGTCCATAGGTCACACACACAAGCGGAAAAAAAATTAATTCAGATAGACGTAGCCTAACGCAGCTTGACTAGAGTGACGAATGTGACAACGTTCACTCGCCTCTATATGCCAATCAAAATCGAAAATTACATTTTTTTTCAAAGCTCTATTTTCCAAACTAGATGGTAAAAAATTATGAATTTTTTTCACAATATCTGTTTCATGTCCCTTTATCGCATGCTCGTTTTTTATTAACCTATCACTGCTAGTTTAGGCCCTACAAAAATAAATGCGACATTTTCATGAACTTTGTATAGGCGACACGTATAAAAATTGCAATTTTTAATTGATTATATCTCAGAGTATAATTGAAACAGTCAATCTCATTCTAATTGCACAAGCGTGTCAACGACTTCTAGTACAACGTATAGTTTCAATTTCAAGAAATTCTGACTGTTTTCAATTCGCGAGTGTACTACCTTAAACAGCTCTGACTAAATTTTATTGTAAGCACAGTGATCACTTAAAAATATTAACTACGTTAGAGAACGGAGAGACATACATAATTTCTACATGGTAAAGTGACAATTTTAATATACTAAAAGTTGTTTTTTGTAACAAATACAACGATGTATGATATAATGACATTAAGTTACAAATTATACAAATTATATTTGTTTAAAGTTTTGCGGACGACTACTACTTTCAGTTTCGACCCTATATGGTGTGACCAATTTCGCGTTGACGATTGACGTGTAAAGGGCTGCGCAGAATAAAAGGAATAGGGAACAGAGAATAAGAATTCAACCATGTATTCCATAGTACTGCTTCTGATAGATCGAAATTCTTATTCTCTGTTCTCTAATCCTTTTATTCTGCAGAGATTCTAATGTTCTTATCTAATCACAGTACTCTCGTCAATGTGAGAGTCAGAAGTTAGGCACACCGCAGAAAGTATAGTCATATTATAATCACCCGTAAAACGTTAAACGAAAATAATTTGTGTAATTCGAAAGATAATATCGTTATAGCATACATCATTGTATTCGTTAAAAAGAACGCTATAATTTTTATCACATTAAAATTGTCACTTTATTGTGCAAAAATTATGCATGTTTCTCCATTCTCTAACATAGGTAATATTTCTAAGTGGTCACTATGCTTACACTAGAGTTTAGTTAGAACCGTTTAATTTGATATTATATTTATTAGATATCTCTGTTTTTTTTATATCTCTGTTAGTTTACGAGATAAAAAG